AGCATTATTCAATGGTAGAACATTCAAATACGAGATGAACACTTTAAGAAATTTCAGTCACAGGGTATATGGATTAAGAATGAACAAGACATCATTATCCCACTTAGATACAAAGAGATGGATTGATAAGTATGGTGTAACTACATTGTACCTATGCTTAAGGTTATGGTGGTAATACTGTATCCCTCGGGACTATGAGCAACTCTTCTCGTACAATTCCCCTGCCCGGCCCATCTTTAAGCTTGGTATTTAGGGGTTATGGTTTGATTATTTGAATGCACAATAACTGTTCGTCATTGATCTCTGAATTCGACCATTCAAACTATATAGTAAAAGTATTAGTCTATAGTAAAACGCCATAATAAATTAAACATTAGAAACCTCAGGCTGCGCGTTCGGTACACAGTTCTATTTCTTGTGGTTAAACCTGCAGGTACACCAGCTCTACATTGAAAACAATTGATATCTTTTAATCGATACCTCATGCGGACCAAAATGAATGCAGGATTTTAATATGCCATGGTAAGTTCTACGTCAGAAAACATAAACAATTTCAACGAATATAAAATTATGCTCCACCAAATCTGGTATTTCCCACAACCGTTTATGTGCTTTAAAGGACGACAGTGTCCCAAAGTGACATTGGTGTTGCCACACCACAGATGAAACATGAACTTATTACCTACCTCTGACGACAGAGACAGCTCAAAACAGCTAGTGTTGCAGGTAGTTGGAGATGCATGACAGGTGAAGGACAGCCGTCTACACTGTAAATCTGTGTCGGGTGTGTACGATACTCTGTAACAGTGGACAATCCTATGTAGATGAAACATCCCGCCCCATCAACACCAGAATCAAAGAGCACAAAACGTCAACCATCAAATCAGACATCATATCAGCAACTGCCCCAATCACAACATTTACTCGCTACACTTTGGCGTGCTTTCATTATAATCCTGTGTTCCCTCGCTGTATTTTGGGATATTCCTTTCGGGTCCAGGCTAAAATCCTTTGATGTGGTACATTGTACTCGTTATACATCATGAATTTGATTTCATGTTTGGGTTTAGCATGACGTGCATATGTTTATTAATGTATTAAGAATAAATATCGTATATTCATGTATCCAAATTTATCATGTTTGACAAGATTAACCAGAGTATATGAAGTTTTCGCCACCATGTTAATTTCGAGGATAATGCAATCACTGGAACAGTCTATCTCTGTGGAGCAGCAATATACTAGTACACTTTCCTGCAGGAGAAATCAGTGTTGAAGAAGTCTAACAAATTTAGTCAAGCTCGATTGTATTCTATCTCCATGTACTTTTAACTGAGCCACTTGATATAGGCAGCACATAGACCCTTTCCGGTACGACCACTGGAACCGATGCTGCAGTTAATGCAGAAATATTTTTTTAATTTGAAGTTAACACGATATACGTCTTTCCCATTGGACGAGAGGTCGGTCACATGACCGCGAAATTGATGTTCATAAGTGTATGAACGACACAATTTGACGTTCATACATTTTTCACGAGACTGTGTTCTTGAAATGATGTAAACACTGACGGACTACTTCCACATTCCTGGGGAAACCCCTGGGAATTCCCTAGGACGAAAACATACATAAGCGTTCTTTCTGATCTTTTAGAACCTTTAATCTTGGTCTCAGCGTTTCAGTATGCATTGAGAAAAGTCAGAGAGCTTGACTGCATGATTGTCCACGAACATCCTCGCTACGGCCCATCCTAATGAGCAAACGAAGAAATGCACATCCAAACTATCGTAGTATCGACTCGATCCGTGTCTAGGCTGACAGTGACCGTCTCCAGCATTCTATGAATTTACCATAGTGTCTGTTTGACGCATCTTTAATCACCTTTCAATGATCGGCCAGTTCATCAATGATGACTAACACATGTAACCGCCACAGGTTCATTAACAACTTCGGAAATCTCTCCCATCACGTTTATCGTGACAGCCATTTTGACGTCTTGTACTTGATGTACACCTCATGGTTTATTCTCCCTGCACTCGTCGTGTATTTCTTAAGCAAAGAAGCCACTGTGTGTATACAAACAGTAAGCGGCGAGGAGGGGAGACATTGGGCTCTGGGGAAATAGTTTGTGATTGGCTTAATAACAACAGTCGTTGTCGAATCAGAGTAAGTGTTTTAGTAAGTTGTTTAAAATTACTGTTTGTATGTTTATCTATGATTTTAAACACTAAAAGGAAACACTCCTCACTCTTTTATCGTTTTTAATCTCGCAGATACCAAAATAACTCAGAGCACTTTTGAGGATACCAGGAACGGATAATTGCGTTTTTTATGAAGAGAACTGACCTCCGGTAAACGTCAAGCTTACTATTTGTTAAAATATATATTGTTTATCTATTTGTTTGTATGGTATTTTTTAATTTTCATCTTTTTAAGCCTTTTACCAAAGCAAAACATTGCAGAATCCGAAAGCCCCTTTCTTTAACCGCGGTGGTTACAAACTTAAATAAGAGAGACCAATTAAATAAATCCTCAGTTTGTCGACCCTACTGACTTGTTATTATTATGCAAATTATGCAAACTGTTGGGTTTTTTGCTTTAATTTACACATCTGTATAAAACGTTCACTCTTGCCTGTACCGCTCCCGTCGTGGAGGTTGCATGGGATGTTGCAATACAGAATGTTCTAGTTTGTCGAACTTACTCCTTACAAAACGACCCGTGAAGATTCCGGTGTAGAATAAGTCTTCAGCAACCCATGCTTGCCGTAAAAGGTGACTATGCTTGTCGTAAAAGGCGACTAACGGGATCGGGTTGATGCATGTCATCGATCCCAATTGCGTGGATCGATGCTCATGATATTAATCACTGGATTGTCTGGTCCAGACTCGATTATTTACAATCCGCCGTCATTTAGCTGGAATATTGCTGAGTGCGGCGTTAAACAACAACCCAACCAACCAACCAACCTTTCAAACCATGTAAGTTTGAAGGTTGACAAAGATGACATAAATGTGTAAAACGTTGTTCAATTTTGCCAACACCGTTCCCATTGTGGTTGCCGGACAGAATGTCCCAATACACCATCGGGTGGTTACAAGACGTGACCTTTCAGATTGTGCATCATCGTATTGTGACAGCTTGATTCGTTGCTGACGTCATTGATCTCTGGATCATCAAATGCCAATTCGTACAGGGCATGAGCTAGACAAACACCGTTGTGACGAAGTTGAAGGGACCTGTTTAAATTCTTCGAGTTATCCGGGATTCAACACACCCCAATTGATGAATAAAAAAGGGGAATAGATTTTACTTTGAGACAACCCTAAGTTCGACGGAACTATGTTTGACTGTATTTGTAATACTGCATATCACATCACTGCACATCTATCATGTAGCCCCTTCACTTCAGTGGGAATAAAACGACAAAACCCTTTCCATATTTCACAAGAAATATCTGCTAAAGGCAGAGTCGATTGTACGATAGGCTGTATGCTGCCAAATACGTTAATGTTTTAGAACAAAACAAGGACCGTTATCGCTTAAGCCAGTCTATATATAATATATATGTCATATATCACAAACGTTTGGATTGTTCAATAAGGAGAGAGGAGAATATATTTTTCTTGGGTGATAATATCATTGCATCGACAAAATGTCTTAACTTTTAATTCTGCAATCTCACTTTTTTGTGTCGTTGAGATCAGTATTGAGAATTCTGCTGTGTGTTTAAAATTAGTTTTCTCTGTTGGTGAGGACGCAAGTGTTGCCCAGTGTGATTATGTGCTTGTCTGTGTATCAGATCTCAAGGAATTGTTTTCCATTTACCCAGCCCGACGCTATATAAACTATTCAGGTGATATATTGAAAACATTGTTTATTAAACAAACATAATGACGTTCGTTTGATAAATACACACTTTGTAGGGTTTTAATTCCACTCTCCCTTTCCACTGAGCTTTTGTCACATGCTATTTAAACTATACTTTCTAAAACAGTATAAAATTTTGCATTATCAAGGATGATGATACTTAAGCTTGCATTACTTTCTTCTCAAAATGGTGATGATAATGATACTAGTAATATTTTCAGTGATTTTCAGAAAAATAAGCGAAAACAAATACCCTTAGTTTCTTCCTTTAAGTTTTAGATAGGGGCGGTTGGGTAGCTTTGTGGTTAACGCGTTCGCTCGTCACGCAGAAGACCCGGCTTCGATTCCCCACATGGGTACAATGTGTAAAGCCGAATTCTGGCGTCCTCCGCCGTGCTATTGCTGGAATATTGCTAAAAGCGGCGTAAAACAAATGCTCACCCACTCCTTTCAAATACATTCCTTGAAAACCCTCCATTCTTGTTACTTTGACATACTTATCACACAGAGACTGATTATTCTCTGGCGTTTGCGTTTTCATATTTACTTACACGTGGTCGATGTAACTGGTGGTGGGCCGTCCCCGAGTTTCATCGCAGGCCCAGTCGCATTTTTTAATCAAGCTTAGTAAATATGGAATCAGTATTTGGGCCAAGACATAATCGTTTTCGCAAATAGCTGGTTTTATTACTGATCTTTAGTGATCCATTGATATAATTTTCCCCTCTATTATGCCTTTTATGCCCAATGGAATCTATCGAGACGGACTGATTATTCTCTGGCGCTGACGTTTCATATTTCACCGGTGTCGCCTGTGCGATAGGATTATTATACTCGCCTTTTCGCAAACACCCGGTGTCATCACTATTTCATTGTTATTTATTGACACATGCTCATGATATAATCGAAATAGTAAAATAGATTCTTCTTAAGCAGTGCTTGTGTATGTCCGGACTAATGCCGACTCTATAGTGCTAGCCCACTAAGATACCATGCCGCAGTTTAACATGAATACCCCACTCAGACACAGTTTACTGACCAGTGTTAGCCCCTTCATGTCAAACACCGAGCAGTGTAACATCAAGTACTATAAGAACAAACTATAAGAGGCAAGATAATAATATTTACATGTTTATTTCAGTATAAAAGTTAACAATAGCTTAACAAAACTAAAGAATATGTCAACAAAATATTTGAAAGTCCGCACACTTTTGCTTTTCGAGGATAGTGCGGTCATTGGAACAGTCGGACAATTGATCTATGAATGAAATCAGTGTTGAACACATGAGGACCTATGCCAAATTGACTGTGGTGGAACTCACGCTCTCCGGGTTCTTTAACTGAGCCACTTAACATAGGCAGCACAAAGACCTTTCCCGGCACGACCACCGGAACCGATGCTGCGGTTGATGCCGAAGTAGATGTCGTAGTTGGGGGAGCCGCCCTCGGAGTCCGACTGTCCGTTCAAGGCAAAAAGTAAGTTTGTGTTGAGGAAATAGTTGAACTCTGCTCCCCAATTGTTCCAGATGACGAGGCCGTCGGCGATGATGACGCTGAGACGGTTGTAGATGATGTTGGGCCGGGTCAAGAGAATCCCTCCTTTTGGCGAGTTCATATCGTTACCATAGATACGAAATGTTGAACTTGTTCCTTGTATTTCGGCGTCTCGAGATGTGGAACGACTATCACCACCTGTGATTATAAAAGATAGCAGCATGTAGGACATATAGTTGTACAAGCTATTGTTGTAACGTTTCCGATCTTGAATTCAATCAAAGTGACGAGCATGGGTATGATTCTGACAGGTCAAGATTTCAGGGATTTTGACCTGCGTTCACAGGTTTGCGGAACAGCACATAGCTCAAACACTGGTGGATGTCACATATACCTGTTTCCGAAGTATATATGTCGTATTTGTCAGTATGGGCCAATCGTCTGAACCACTTCTATTTGAATTACTTTAAACAAACGGTTTTCTCAGAAGTTACGTATCATAATCAACAGTTAATTATCATGGTGATTGGTATGTGACAACGTGATATGAAGGAACTGTGAGAATAACAACTACCTTGATAGTCTCATGGTAGGCCTGTGATTGTTGGGCCCTGGACAGTTAAATGGGGTCTATCTTTTTAATATGAGTCAAACTACTTCAAGCTGAGATTTTTCAACTAATATATGTTGCTGCTTGCGAGCATCCTAAAAAGCTGGATTAGGAAGAAAGGGATAACATTTTGGGGTTGTCCGCCCAAAAAAATTGGAGTTGGTCTTAGATATGTTTCATTCATTTACTCATTTCTATTTTGAATACAATTGTCAAATTTTACATCACTGTTGTTTTTTCTGTTCGTAATTTTTCTAAATAATCTGTACATTTAATCTCTGTTTTAACTCTGTTTCGTCGTTTGTTAATCTTCCTTACCCCAAGGCCACATACACCCTCCGAAGCTCCCACTCTCAATTCATTACCACGATTCATAACATACAAGTAATATACTGATATAACTGATTCGGTTATACCATGTGCTGCTGGTAATTAACCACAGGTGTCAACAATACACCTCAAAGATCTTTCACTTAAAATGATATAAAGTCATTGCCGTCAGTGCATTTACTTTTTTATGATAAGTAACAGAATCTATTTATCCATTATAAATCCTTACTTATAACTAGTATTGACTGGTATAGATTGTTGGTTGGCCTACCGTATCCATTGTTGGTTGGTGAGTCGCCGATGTTGAACACCCAGCCTGATGGGTTGCTAAACCACATGTCAATCAGAACTTTGTTCTTCCTGCTTTTAGACCCAGGGGCCCCAAAGCTCAGCTTGAGAACGCCCCTCTTCCCGCACGTGCCTGTTCCATATAGTGTTGTCTTCCAGGACAGAGAGCTGCTGGTGTTGATGGTCGTTCCTGACGTCAGGTCAACAAATAGGTCATATCCTGCAGAAGATAAAACATGTATTGTAACGACAAAACCACAGTGAACTGGGGATATGATAAAATGAATAGACTACACACCACACAACATGTTTGTGGCAAATTATTTATGCATCCATTAATCAACGAAGCTGTACTTCGCGTCTCTCAAATTGAATAAAAGTCTTTCCCGGTTTGAGAAATGTCAGTTATTTCGTGAAAAGAAAAACATATGACCCACAAAAAATTGTATTTGTCACAACAGGTCTCGACCCTTGAAGATCCGGGATAGAATAGGTTTTCAGCAACCCATGCTTGTAGTAAGAGGCGATCGGATTATCAGGCTTGCTGACTTATATGATGCATGCCGTCGTGTCCCAATTGCGTGGATCGATGCTCATGATGTCAAACACTGGAAACTCGATTATTTACAAACCGGCGTCATGTAGCTGGAATATTGCTGAGTGCGGCGTTGAAGAACAAACAAACAAACAAAACAGGTCTCCTCGTTTATGAACTTTAAAGAGCGAAAGAGAGACCCCAAGGTACATCGTTGTTTCCACACTACAGATACAAACATACACAGAACACATACCTGTGGCGACAGAGACACAGCAGAGCACAGCTAATGTTGCGGGTAGGTGGAGATGCATAGCTGCTGAAGGACAGTCGACTTCTCTCTGTGTCCGAAGTGTATGGTGCCGTGTACACCCCGACCTCATATATACGTCAACCCGACAGAGATCAGCCAATAAGATAGCCTCCCATCACGTCATTTATCCGGGATGTCTCAAAACGGGAAGCTTCGTCATGGATGACTGGTTAACGCTTTTTGAAAAGCATTGTGCTTTATAGTTCATAGCAGTGTACGCCCACGTTACAAACTACGTCTCTCGAATAGTGATCTGGAATTAATTCATATGGTGAGAGATACAACCATCGCATAAAAAAACTGACACAATTATCGTCATGGCAAATTAACATGAAGACCATGTTTGGGAATTTCTTTTCACGAACACCTGTTTTTCTCGGCTTTTTAAAGTTTTAAACACAATGGAATCTGTATCGGCTATTCTCTGGCGATAACTTTTTATATTTAAATAAAGACAAACAGAAAGAATAATATTTTCAAACACCTGGAGAAAAGAGTCTATGATTTTTCTAATTGCCCTTAACGTCAGAATCTTACAGAAAGTGTATAATTGTAGCACTGAGGAAGCTACGTACATACACCAAGCAACACAATAGTTGTGGATTGGTCGAGTATGTTTTGAGATGTTAATACTTTTGTGTGGTAAGCAAATGTACCACACCTTCATAAATACCACCCTCTTGCGAGGCTGATTATTTGCCTTCCTATTTTAAAATACGTGTTTTGCATTCGTGTTTACCGAGTCGTGCACAAATCTATCACGAGGCAGAAGAGCCCATTGTGTACAACCACTTTGGGCTGGTGGGTGTCAATGAGGTGAGACATACGTGTGTGAAGAAATGGTTTCTGATTGGCTCAACAACAGCAGTCGCTGTCGAATCAGAGAAAGAGTTTACTCCAGGGAGTCTAATTATGATTACTGACAACTGTTGGTATATTCATCTTTGAATATATCTACCTATATAACACTTTAATGTCTCATATTGCAGTAGCAAATACGGTGCTCAAAAGTGAAGCCCTTTTCCCTCTACATTCTCTCTATCAGAAGTGTTTGGCTTGTGATGGGTCCGACTTGGCCCGGGCGGTCAAAATCAACTTTAAACACACATTTGTATCTTCAAATGTATTTATATCTATCGATTAGTGTTATATCTACCTATATACCACTTTATAATGTCACGGTACATCGTATTTAAAGGAAACAAGGGGCTCAAAGTAAAGCATTTTTACTGTATTTTCTTAAGAAAATCTATGTCAGAAGTGTTGGGTCCGACTTGGCCCGGGCGGTCAAAATCAACTTTAAACACACATATGTATCATCAAATGTGTTTACATCTATAGATTAGTGTTAAATCTACCTATATACTACTTTATAATGTCACGGTACATCGTATTTAAAAAAAACAAGGTGCTCAAAGTGAAGCCCTTTTCCCTTTACATTCTCAACATAGTCTCTATCAGAAGTGTTTGGCTTGTGTTGGGTCCGACTTGGCCCGGGCGGTCAAAATCAACTTTAAACACACAGACGTATCTTCAAATGTGTTTATATCTATAGATAAGTGTTATATCTACCTATATACCACTTTATAATGTCACGGTACATCGCATTTAAAGAAAACAAGGTGCTCAAAGTAAAGCCCTTTTCCCTCTACATTCTCAACATAGTCTCTATCAGAAGTGTTTGGCTTGTGTTGGGTCCGACTTGGCCCGGGCGGTCAAAATCAACTTTAAACACACATTTGTATCTTCAAATGTGTTTACATCTATAGATTAGTGTTATATCTACCTATATACCACTTTATAATGTCACGGTACATCGTATTCAAAGAAAACAAGGGGCTCAAAGTGAAGCATTTCAACTGTATTTTCTTAAGAAAATCTCTATCAGAAGTGTTGGGTCCGACTTGGCCCGGGCTGTCAAAATCAACTTTAAACACACAGATCTATCTTCAAATGTGTTTACATCCATAGATTAGTGTTATATCTACCTATGTACCACTTTATAATGTCACAGTTTATCGCATTTAAAGAAAACCATGAGTTCAAAGTGAAGCCCTTTTTCCTCTACATTCTCAACATGACTAGTATTATATCTACCTATATAACACTTAATAATGTTGCACGATAACTCAAAGAAAACTGGTCTGTTAAAGTCGAGCACTTTCACTGTATCTTCTCAAGAAAATTTCACCAAATGTGTTAGAGTGAAGTATACTCTTTAAAGTGAAGCCCTTTTTTCATGGTATGTGTCTGGTCGGAAAATCCCTTGCTTTTACCTAATCCGTCGTGGGTTTTTTCAAGGATCATACTCACAGGGTAGCACTTGGAGAAGGTAAGGTGAGACTTTGCATTTCAGGATAAACCTCTCCCTCAACCCTGCTTAATGCTTCTATTATCTATGAGTGTGTTAAGGAAAACAGGATTATCTCAGACAGTTGTAATCTGCCATACCGCGAGAATACGTGCTGCATCTCCGAGCAGCTCGTTCTGTGAAAACACACTTCTCCTGAACCTGACTTGGACCACTCAGTATTATTGTCGTAATGGTTAATAGACGCCATAAATTAAAGTTCTCTATATATCTTGGGTTGCACACACCACTTTCACCAAATTAAAAATCTTAGACAAAACTGCAAACAATCAAATATCTTCACCCCTAAACTTAAAATACCAAAAATAGACACAACACTAGCTAGCCAAATAAATAAACAAACCGACCCAAACATAGCTAAAACTACCACCCTAGCATACATACACGAAAATTGGCCAAATTGTTGTCACATTTACACGGACGGATCCTCAGATCCGACCTCCAAACACACAGGTTTCGGAGTCCATACCACACAACCAACTAAAACCACACAATCCTTCCGACTCCCAAACAACCAATCAATATTCACGGCAGAACTAATGGGCATGGCCTCAACCCTCCATAATCAAGAATAAAAAAAACACAAAAAAATTCTAATACTTACCGACTCCCCAAGTGGACTGCAAGCCCTCCAAAACAAAAATACCAAAAACCGACCTAAATTAATAAATCAAATACTTAAAAGCTCCAACGACCTAACTAAGGCAGGCAAACAAATAACCTTCTTGTGGATACCCGCCCACGTAGGAATATACGGTAATGAAAACGCCGATAAAGCAGCTAAACTATCCCTCAAAATCCCAGAAATAAGCTTAAACTTACCCATCTCAAAATCAGAAATTAAAAGTGTAAACAAGCAAAAAATGACAAAAAATGGCATAACCTATATCTAAACTCAAATAGCCAAATCAAAAAAGTGCTCAGCAAACCACTAACCAAACCAAAAATTCTCCATCCATCCAAAAAAATCGACAGAGTAATCACTAAACTCCAAACAGGACACACCAACCTAAATAACCACCTAAAAAAAATAAAAAAACACACTACAGGTAACTGCCCACACTGCAAACAACCAGAAACCCCAGAACACGCACTCATCCACTGCACACACTACCTAACACATCGAACCGCATTACAAACCACCCTCAATCTAAACAAGGCTCTCACTCTAGAAGCAATACTAAACCCACAAAATAAACTAGAAAACTTCAAGGCCTTAGGCGTATTCTTAATAAAAACGGAACTAATAAAACGCATCTAAAAACACAATAACCTACCAAATCAAAATCACATAAACAAACAAACATCCACCATACCAAGCTCCCTTAGTTCTCCTCCCCAATCCCATCGGCATCTATTCCTAATCTCAAAATTCCCAAATTCTATATAAGCAACCCCTAAAACCCCCCTCTTGGGTTGCACAGACCACTTTCGCCCCTTTCGGAAACACATTAAATGGCCTGGCCGGGCCCGTGTGCGAAATACGCATCAGTCGGAAAGCGCACGTTAAATCTCCAAAGTAAGTAAGTAAGTACCACTTTCGCACCTTTCGGAAACACATTAAAAGGCCGGGCCGGGCCCGTGTGCGAAATACGCATCAGTCGGAAAGCGCACGTTAAATCTCCAAAGTAAGTAAGTAAGTAAGTAAGCAACTTTGTTCTACAGTCGTGATGTTAAGATTATTAACCACCCGGGACAAGTCGATCCGACAGGTTAAATGATACGCAGGATGCAAAAGGAGGTAAGCGCAAGTACGGTACAGAAACTGAAGTAAGTTGGGCTCTCTTAGTTTTCTGTATGCTTACACATCATCACGTCATACTGGATTTAAATTAGTTTCTTATTCTAATACTGCTAATCTTTGTCAGTGGCCAGTGAAAGTATCACAAGGGAAAATTCCAATATATGCAAAATATACAAATATACATATATATATATATATTAAGATGACATACAACTTATACATACTTACGTGTATAAACTACTATCAAACAGTGAGGATAACAGGTGTTTGCATAGAGGTGAGCGTAACCTGAAACCGGTGGAACAAACACACGCAAAGGCAAGTTAGTTGTTAAACCCGATTAGCACAAGTCAAAACAGAGAATTTCATCGGACATAACTCCATTTGCTACTTCTGTGGTAGTCACCAATCAATCCATTTATACTTCCAAAAATAGCTTTAACCCTTTTAAAGCTTTTGAGAAATTCAGCAGTATGGGTTTGGTCTGACAAATCAAGAAGCACAAATGGGGCATGTTTCGGCCAATGATTAGAGTATTCTTGCAAGTCTAAGGGTCCAACAGGAGTTATTTCTGCGACATGCTATTTCAAAACCCAAAATTCAGAGGGATATATATGAAAAGAAAAAATGAAATAATACAAATATATATTCCTTCCAGGTGAAGGCTATCACTTGAAATCAAATTAACAAAGCAGATTTTAGTCAATGACACATCTCTTGGGGTAGAAGTTCATCTCTGTCACCATGCTATGGTATTTCTGGAAAGGAAAGTTAACTTACAAAGTCGTAATATACGTGAAAGGCTTAATGTTGCTGATTAAGCGCAAAGATATAAACTCTAACTGACTGCTCAGTAACATCATGTAATACTAGTAATATTCAAATAAGTGTACTTGTTCTAGGTGTGTGTGACGTGGATACATATATCTAAGCGTATAGAAGAAACGTCAACAAACTTGTAACTACATGTATGTATAA